GTCCTGTAACGATCTCATCTGGAATAAACTCTGTTACTTTTTTACTCCTGTTTTTGTAGTCCTTTTTTCTATGGTTTTACCCGGTATTAGTTAAAGGAGAAGTTCGGTTTTTTACACTTTAAGCCCATTTTCTGTAGTGTCCAGGATGAAATCGAATGAAGGACACCAAAATTTTGACAATTGCTCCTGTCTCTGCTTTTTGGCTCATGCAGAATCACCCCCTGGCTGCTTTAGAATGGCTAGCATAGAGCATGTCCGATAATGTCCTTAAAACAACCTTAAACGTTCTTTTTTTAAAATATGCTACTCACCGTGTCGTCAGCGCTGTTCAATGACGTTCCAAAAAAAGTTTCGTGAAGAAAAAACGTTCCTGTAGTGTTTTATTTAGCATTTTGTAAATCCGATTGAGTTCTGTAGGAATAGTCAATATTCCGCTGCCACCAGAAACGGAAATGGGGCCTGTTTACACAGTTGTAGTCTTTTCGCTTCACTCTGTGTACTCCGACGTCGAGGTGCTAACGTATCTGTTAAACACTTTAAAAAACTCTGAAAATGGAATACGAAAGGTGGATTCTTGATTCTCGACGTCGGAGTACACAGAGTGAAGCGAAAAGACTACAACTGTGTAAACGGGCCCCATTTCCGTTTCCGGTGGCAGCGGAATATTGACTATTCCTACAGAACTCAATGGGATTTACAAAATGCTAAATAAAACACTACAGGAACGTTTTTTCTTCACGAAACTTTTTTTGGAACGTCATTGAACAGCGCTGACGACACGGTGAGTAGCATATTTTAAAAAAAGAACGTTTAAGGTTGTTTTAAGGACATTATCGGACATGCTCTATGCTAGCCATTCTAAAGCAGCCAGGGGTTGATTCTAAATGAGCCAAAAAGCAGAGACAGGACCAATTGTCAAAATTTTGGTGTCCTTCATTCGATTTCATCCTGGACACTACAGAAAATGGGCTTAAAGTGTAAAAAACCGAACTTCTCCTTTAAGAGTAGTAAATAACTTGCTCCCAGCAAAAGAACCGGAAGGGAAGTCCGGAGGCGCAACTGCCTTCAGCGGGACATAAATTCCGCAGGCATTGTTTTAATGATTTACACCAAAACAGCTGGCATTACACTCTAAGAATGTATTGTTTGGAAAACAACCAATCTGGTTGGTTAAACCAATTTTGGTTAGTTCCAATGTTGATTAGTTCCAATTTTGGTTAGATTAACCAACTTACTTGGTTAACCAAACAACCGATACAAATGGTAACAGATGGTTTACTTCTCTGACTGGTTGGCTCTAGTCAAGTGGAGAGTGTAATAGTTGGTGGACGAACTACTCATTAGTAGTACTTGAATAAAAGTATTGATACTCATAGTCAAATCTTACATAGCTACAAGTAAAAGTTACTCGGTCAAAAATCTACTCATGTCAAAGTATTAGCACAAATTTTTGAAAATACATTCAAAAGTACAGTACATGCATTAAAAAGTACTTCAGTAATGAAAAATACAAATGAGGTTTCGTAATATCAGATCTTCTGAGTAATTTTAACAAACCTGGTAGGTTTTAGAAAACCACCTTTATTTATGTTTAGAGCAACCTGCTACTAATTCTACACCACCATTCTAACCCACCTATATAGAACTTGAGCGTAAAAATGCCACAAAAAATAAGGGCAGCGATTTTGATTATTATTTCTTATTCAGAACAAACCAAAAAGAAAACTGGAGATGCTTGATTCTCCTCACACTCACAATGGAATAGAGGTTTAAATTTGAATCTATTACCACAAAGAAAATTCAACTCTGATGCTACGTTCAGACCGCATGCTACCGAAGCAGCAGAAGCACCTGGTTTACATGCAAAGTCTATGGATGCATGTGTCAAGGTGCATCAAAAGGTTCTGCAGCTCGTTTCGAGCAGCTGAAGCAGCGCCTCATGAGCCTCTGAGCATTTGAGCACATCTTGTGTTTTGCTTCACGAGCAGAAGTTGCTGGAGTTTGCTGCTCGATGAGCCACATCAACCAACAAGAAAAGCTGATCTGGGAGCTGGTTGGGAGACAGACACAGTGCTGCTGATGCAGATGACCACTCCTCTGAGACGGTTTATTAATGCCTAAATTAACTTGTCGAAACCTGCCAGCAAAATATGTTCACTATTATTATTCTGGTGTGTGCAGGTTGGATTACGTACATGAAAACCGCTATTCCGCTAACATCTCTTTCTAGCCGGAAGGAGCCGGGCCTGAGGGAGCTTCTACTGGGGATTTCCAGTGACAACGCAACGCCGATGTACTTGGGTTTCGTGCTGGTCCGGGAGCGAAATAATATTTGAAGGCAGGATCATAATCTGGATTATCTGACTGCACAGATTAAGTTTTGAGGGGGACTTTCTCGCTAAAAAATATATTAAAACTACTTTTTATCCATTTATGACAGCAAATATAGCAGAGCCGCTCTGTATTATTGAACACAGGAGCAGCAGAGGCATCTGTAGCATCTGGACACACTTTGATGGAAGCGCTTTAGGGGCATCAAAGATGCTGTTGAGGTGCATCAGACCTTAATGTGTACAAGCATAAAAAATGAAGCAGCTGGTGCTTTTTTGCTGCTTCTGAATGTAGCTTGATTTGAAAACTCATCCAACGGAATAACTTGGCCACGTGGCAACAACTCACACACTGATAAAATGTATAAACTGCAAATCATATCTGCCCTGAGTTTCTCACTTTTGTGGAATGTTATGCAAATGCACTCTAAAAGAGTGGTATCCAAATTTAGTCCTAAAGGCTGCTATCTTGCATGTTGAAGTTGCATTTTGATAAAGAAAATCAGCAACAGCAGATTAAAAGCTAAGCTGAGCAAAAAGGAACAAGTAACTAGCAGCTTCCTAGAAATGCAGTGGAGTAGAAGCACAATATTTGACTTTGAAATATAGTGGAGTGAAAGTTATAAGTACAACCCCAAAAAATTACTCAAGTTAAGTAAAGATACCTACTCAAAATAAAGTACTTAAGTACAGTAATCAAGTAAATGTACTTTGATACTTTCCACCACTGGAAATAGTTATGGACGTAGAGAAACATTACAGTTATGTGTACATGCACAGCATGCAAATCTTGGCATTAACCTTGGTTGTTGGTTAGTAATAACCATTAGCAGAAGCATTAGCAGAGACCGTGGTATTTAATATTTAGGTGAATGAGCAGTTTCCAAGGATTTGTTGTTTTTCTTTAAATTGAAAAGCGTAACATTCTTTTAAAAGCTTAATACACATTTAATAAAATTGTGAACTGAACAACTGGTTCTTAGTTGTTCAGTTCAAAGTCTGTATTTGGCAGTAGCAAAATCAGAGTTAAATTCTTTGCCTTCAGTAAATGACCTTATGTTGCCTTGAGATAAAATCTCTGCTCTTTTGGCCAGCTGCTTCTGGCAGGAAACGACTTCCTCTGATGTTTGCTGCAGAGGGATTTAGGAGGAAAAAAATTCACCAGCACAGACAAGGGCTTTGTTGTAACTAGCTTTGCTCACTATTGAATATCTCTAAATATTTCCTAAATGATAAGCAGGCCCTGTTTAATATTTTACACCTACATACCTCAATCTGAACCATTTTTTCAGGTTTTGCAAAAAAATTCTGAAATGTCACAAACTGAGCATATGCACTAATTATTTACAATAGTCAGGGTGAATTTTCTTTAACAATATATACATGATGTATAAGTTCAGCATTTGTGTTTATTTTCTAAAGACACCTTTGAAAAAACCTACAACTACCAAACAGAATAATAGCCCCAAGTATATTTTAGAAAACAAGCTCACTTTTTTTTTTTTTTTTTTCTGTTTTTCCTTTCCTGTTCTACCTACATTGCAAGGTCCATATAATATGTAAAACTCCCTGCATGATTATAATAAAGCAATTTATATGCATAAATCAAGTGGAACACTCTGGCAATAGCCGTACTGCTCCACTTGTGAAAGTAAAATCTGTTGTTTTTTTTTTTGGCATCAAAACAATTATTCTTAGCGCCATATCGTCTGACAAGACACTGTAAAAAACAAAAAAACAAGCTCACTGCAACATATACACATAAACAGCCTATGCAACATAAAATAGTTTAAATTAAAAATTTGCTTTGAAATTTCTCCCCTTTTATGGAATTGAAGTTATGCAGTTTATCTGAAAAATAAGAAAATAGTAAATGGGAATATTTTGAAAAGTTGCGATTACCTAATTTCATTTGGATGCATTCTTTATTACCTTTTAGATGCACATTTTAGTTTTACTTCAATATTCAAGCTTTATTTATTTGTAATTTTGATGAATGAGAGTCCTTTATTACCCAAACCCGAAATTCAGTCCTTCAGATTTTTATATTACGGTAGGTACATCACACTAAATTAAAAAGGATGTTTTAAACACAGATGTCAGGCTTCTGAAAAAGTATTCAAATTTCTATGCAATCAATACTTGGTTGGGACTCCTCTTGCATGATTTTAATTTAACATTTTATAGCTACTGTACATGGGAGTCCCCATGGTTAAGAGGTTTAAGTTGTTGTTTGAATGATCTGTTTTTAAATCCCTGTTATGTCAGAAAGGCCATCTGTTGCACAAACTTTGCCAAGTCCGTAAAAGAGTCATATTGACTCTCTGTGGCAAACTGTGAATAAGGAATCAATGAAAGAGAAAAAAATAATTATAATTTAGTTTGCCCCATTTGCTTATTGCACTTCTCCATAGTTTAATCTACCCCCTTTCCATTAATGTAATGAGTATATGTGTGATCTTTATCTTGCAGCCTGTCTATTTTTTTGTGTTATTATAGAAGTAAATAAATTGTGAATATTGCAAAATCCAAGTCCCTCTGATTCTTTGTAACTTCACCACAAACTATAGCTTTAGCTATAAGAGCAAATGTCAGAAAGATCAAACCAGCTAAACGTTATGTCAAGTTAATTGGATCCACCAAATTTCAACTTAGTCAACATGTTTTTTGGGGGGTTTTCTTTTCAGTTTTCGCTGTAGCTGATTTTTTTGGTTTTGCAAAGAAATATAGGATAAAGTGCAGAGTATACATTACATTAAAGATGGAAAAAACTGAGAAATTATGTCCTAAATTGTTTTGCATTATAGCAGGCCCGTGTACATTTGATAGGCATAATTTGTTAAGCTAAAAGAAAGTAGTCTTCTTATTAAAAGCAGAGATTTAATGAAATAACAGAGTGTTTTTCTTTACTCAGAGACAATCTGCGATTGAAGCCTCATTGATTTCCCTTGACATCACTGGGAGATCATCTGCAGGCTGGAAGCTTGTCTTGAAGCGCTGGAAAAGGTGTGCAGCAACAAACTAGTAACAGTGAGGTTTACTGCAAATGTGTGTTTAAATGTGCAATATCACCCACTGACCTGCCAGATAGTTCCTTTTCCTTTGGCTAATTTCCACACCATGTTGAGTGGGATCATAGACAACGAAGACATGGACAAAAACCAACCAATATAGTAAGCCCACCAAGGATACACATACGAGTTGTTGAACCTCATTGGGGTGTATCTCAGGAGCAAATACACCAAGGATCCCTTTAAAGCAAACCACATAAAAAGAAAAGAACACTGTGGGATCAAAGTTTGACTTTTTAGGAGTGACTAGAGAGCTTAAAAGACTTACAAAGCTCAAAAGAGGGATAGCATACATCCAGCAGTACTTGATCAGTGGAAGAGGTTTGTACCCAATCATGTCTTCAATGTTGACAGAGAAGCGTCCAGCTCCTAGGACAAAAACGGTGCTTTAACAATGAGTAAAAGATGGATTTCTAATTTCTAGTTACTGGTTAAAGGATGCATAAATACATGCCCCAATACGTTTTAAAAAGGTTTTTCTTATGGCTGAATATTCTCCCAGAAAATATGCAGCACTTCTATTTTGAACATTTATATGTATCTTATATGTATATACTTTCAAAATGTATTCATATGGAGCCAATTTCTAAATTTTTGGTAAATTTAAAAAGGATAAGTTTGGTTAAACTCTGTAAATGTATATTAGATGGTTAAATTATGAATAATCACAAACATGCATCGTTCCAAAGACAGCTTTCTCTCACCATAAATCCATCCAATAATCACTGATTGGCAGATTGCAATCATAAGAAGCGTCGGACCGCTGCACACATAGTGATCAAATATCTGCAAAATGTAAATGCCGGCCTGAAATCAGAATGTTAATTATAAGTTATTACATACTCAGGATAGTTTTTAATGAGGATGAATAAATTCCCCCAAAAGGCACCTGAATAATCTGGGAAAATGTAAAAATTGTTTCCTTAAACTCACCTCTGATACAAAAAGAAGGCCAAAAATAAAGCTACAGGAACAGATCATCAATAGTAAAAGCTCTCTGCGGTATCCTTTCCTGATCTCGGAAGGACATATATCAGATAATGAGGTAACAATACTTTCCAAACCAGCAAACTGAAAAAAAAGAGGCACACAGAGATGAGTTACATTAAGGGAATTTTATGGGACACCAAACATTTCTAATCGATTTAGGATTTATATTCTACCTGACTGTCAACTCCTAGCAAGATGATCATGGAAAAAAAACACAATGACCAGAACTGAGGCAAGGGCAAAAGGGTTACCGCTTGAGGGTAGACTATGAAGACAAGTCCAGGACCTGTAAAAGGAAATTTACAAGAAAAAAAAAAAGTTTTAGTTTCTAATTTTCTGGGGCTGGGACTTAAATTATTATTATTATTATTAAGGTAGTGTACCTGATTCAGCAACAGTGGAAATGTCCACACCCTGCTTTTGTGACATGTAGCCCAGAATTGAGAAAACAGCAAATCCAGATAAGAAACTGGTTCCACTGTTCACCAGGCAAAGGTAAAAAGAGTCTCTACAAAGAACAAGACACAAGCAGAAACTTATGAATAAAAAGTTATTATAAAGTATAAAATAGAGTCAAAAAAGTATATAAATATTTATATATCCATCCCAAATGCACCAGGAAGCACAAACACAGATCCTTCCTACCAGCAGCTGTAAGATTTTATAACATCACTGTTCCCAATGAACTTTAATAAGTTCATTTCATGCTGATTTTGCACAGTTTCTACCTTAGTCAGTTAAATAACATGCTGCTGTCATTTTGCACATCTCTGATATCCATTACTGTAAAAATGTCCATAGCTGTTTATTGGTTATTCATTCTCCAGGTGCACAATATTTATATTGTTAAAACAATTTACAGTGCAGTATCTTATTTTTTTTTTATTCTTTAACTCTTCACTATTATGTTTTCCTTATACTCTTTTCTAAGGTCCACATTTGTGTGACCATTTTGTTCTATAATATTTTTGCCACCGTAAACACCACAATTTCCCCATTGTGGGACAATAAAGGGATTTTTATTCTATTCTATTCTATTCTATTCTATTCTATTCTATTCTATTCTATTCTATTCTATATATACATTTTGATAACAACAATTTGAAAGTTGGAGGGGTTTGTTCTTAAGTGTTTTACATCTCCTTCTCCATCTATGCAAATGACACATAACTTTATTTTGTTGTCACCAGAGTCTCTTAAAGTTACTGCTTGAGTATATCCATTATATTGGTTAATGTAAGTGGAAACATTATCATCCAATTTTACCCACATCCTAAAAATCCAAAAGTAGCGCTCAGCGCAGATATAACTTACAGTGTTTAGGCTACAGAGCATGCCTCACTCCAAAGGGCACTTGTGATCTGGGATCTAAAGTTTGATAGCTGTATTGAGTGTGGGAAACCTTCCTAAAACAGTGCAACTATTATTGAACTACCATTGTATTGAAAAAAAAAATTCTTGTGCCAGAATAATATGTTCAATTGGCCAAATGCATTTCCTTTTAATGTGAAGCAATTTAGTTTCCTTGAGAATCTGTGGTGTTATACAAATAAACTTTAAGATAAGAAATTAAAGGCACAATGCTTTTTCTTATACACTCACCTGTAACAGTCGTTGTTATACTTGTTATAGCTTCCAAGAGTAGTCAAAAATCCCAAGCATAGAGCAAATGAAAAAAATACTTGTGTCCCAGCGTCTACCCAGACCTATAAAACAGTCAAAGCTGATTTATTTGCATAAACTTAAATTAATTTCAATGGACATGAAAACCCCCCAAAGCCTTAGACTGACTGAGATGGTACCTGTGGATCAGCGAGCCGTGCAGGATTGGGGTAAAGATAGTACTTTATACCATAAAATGCTCCAGGAAGAGTTATACCTCGAAGAAACAGCAATAATAGCAGGAAGAGGGGGAATGTAGCTGTGAAGTAAGTTGCCTGCATGAAATAGGACAGAAAAAAGAAAACATGCTAAACAATTCTATAGATGTTTTAAATTTGAACTACAGCTAAATAATTTTTTCATTTTGCCTACCCCAATCACTGTCTTACCAGTATTTCCTTAAAAAAAGCATTGGGGTAGGGTGAGGGTGGGGGGACCCGAATATACACAAGCCAAATTTGAGTCAAATTCTCATTCTTTTGAGAGAAAAAAAAAAAAAAAAAAACTGGTATAAAAAGGCAAAAAGGCTTCCGAATTAGCTAGATGGATTGAAGAAGTAAATACCATGTTACGTCACTTTTAAGTAACTAAGAGATAAATATCAGCAGTAAAAAGCAATAGATTTTTTTTGAAGGTCTTCATCTTAAATTGAACTACATTATACTTACGTTTTGCTTGTTTTTTTCTGTCAAACCGCCATTAACTCACAAAAAAGATTTTTGGTATTTCTATGTATCATTACAGTCTAATCTTAGTCCTACCTTTCCCGTAGATCTAACTCCCTTCCAAACACAGAAGTAGCAGATGACCCATGACAGAAGAAGGCACAGAGCAAGGTCCCATCGGATGTTTCCCAAGGTCTCTATGCCGGTGGATATGTTTAAAACCCGTCGCCTATAGGATTAAATATACTGTAAGGGCATATACAGAGGCCTTACAGAAAATATATTAATATAACATACTGTTACCCATCAGCATAAGCACTAAGAATTATCTAAACAAGATTCCTTGGCTATGTTAAAGCCCAGTCACAACTTAAAATGTATTTACTTTAAAGTTTATTCATTAAACAAATTAACCAAAAAATATTATTATTTTTTTAAAGATTTATAAAAAAGATGTTTTTAGAAATCCTCTACTTCTACAAATAAAAACAGCAATAGAAGAAAACAATAAAAAGTTAGTTATTAATAAATCAAGCACCAAGTAGTCTGGTGCTTGAAAACAAAAGCTTTAACAAAAGCCTCATCTGAAACAGATAGTGCTGACAAAAACATTTACCCTTTATGCTTTTCCTCTACTTTAAACTCTTTTTTCATACTTAACAGTTATTTTGAATAATAATAGTCAATAAGTCGATGCAATCAACTAGTTTTCCATAGATAGAAAACTTTGGATCAATTTGCCTGTATGACCTGGTTGAATTGTACAGTGCCTTAAGATGACATTTTGGGAATTGGCGCTATGTAAATAAACTGAATTGAATTGAATTTTAATAGGCCTTTAAACTGAATGACTATGAATTACATGAGAAGTATCGATTTAAAAAGTTGTTTGTAAAAAATTCCTTGACTTCACTTACCAACAGCTACTAGCATAGAGCATTTGCAAAAGCTAGCACATAGAGCCAAGTTGGTTTTGATAACCTGTTTTTTAAATATTAAATATTTTTAATATTTAATATTTTTGGGTTGTCCTTGTCTTGTATTAGAATCTGTAGGTTGGACATAAGGAAAATTAAAAAAATCTGTATTTACTTTTATCAATATGCATTGTGCACTAAAATGTATTAGATTTTATACTGATTTTCACTGATTTGTAAAGTTAAAAGTATATGTTTGAAAAAGAAGGTCTATGGGCAGCAAAACACCCTGGAATATATCCCCAGTTACAGGCTTTGATAGTAAGGATGCATAAAGTAACAACCTGAGGTGGAATACAGGTTGACCTATGTTAAATATCTGACATAAAAATCTCAATTGTAATGATAAAATCTTTGTCTAATTCCAAGTTTGTATCTGTTTAAAGGGCCTGAATGGGTCTTCAAAAGTTGATATATATGGTACACCATTTTCCCCATTATTCTGGCTAATTAGATTACATTCTCAGAAAGAGGGGGCAAATAATGAGTGATGAAGAAATACTACATGTAATCTACATGTAGATGAAATGTTAAATAACTTACTGCCAAAACTCCAGAACAGATGATGACAATGATGCATTCACCAAGGAGGTCCGGTTAGAAGAGACATTATAGTTGTTTATTATCACACAGTGATCTGAAATATAGGAAAGGGGATTTTAACCTGCATCCACATTAACACGGATATCTAGTTTATAAAAAACAAAAAAAAAAAAAAAAAAAAACAAACAAGAGAAATGGCATTGATTTGCATAAACTGAAAGTGAGGAGGAGATGCAAACTTTCTCCTCACAACTGAAGGGCTTCAGGCCACTAGGGGGAGTTAAACAACAAGTCAACCAGAGACCAGATCCTTGTTAAAGACATACACTATATTGCCAAAAGTATTTGCTCACCTGCCTTGACTCACATATGAGCTTAAGTGACATCCCGTTCCTAATCCATAGGGTTCAATATGACGTCGGTCCACCCTTTGCAGCTAGAACAGCTTCAACTCTTCTGGGAAGGCTGTCCACAAGGTTTAGGAGTGTGTTTATGGGAATTTTTGACCATTCTTCCAGAAGCGCATTTGTGAGGTCGCACACTGATGTTGGACGAGAAGGCCTGGCTCTCAGTCTCCGCTCTAATTCATCCCAAAGGTGTTCTATCGGGTTGAGGTCAGGACTCTGTGCAGGCCAGTCAAGTTCATCCACACCAGACTCTGTCATCCATGTCTTTATGGACCTTGCTTTGTGCACTGGTGCACAGTCATGTTGGAAGAGGAAGGGGCCAGCTCCAAACTGTTCCCACAAAGTTGGGAGCATGGAATTGTCCAAAATGTCTTGGTATGCTGAAGCATTCAGAGTTCCTTTCACTGGAACTAAGGGGCCAAGCCCAGCTCCTGAAAAACAACCCCACACCATAATCCCCCCTCCACCAAACTTTACACTTGGCACAATGCAGTCAGACAAGTACCGTTCTCCTGGCAACCGCCAAACCCAGACCCGTCCATCAGATTGCCAGATGGAGAAGCGCGATTCGTCACTCCAGAGAACGCGTCTCCACTGCTCTAGAGTCCAGTGGCGGCGTGCTTTACACCACCGCATCCGACGCTTTGCATTGCACTTGGTGATGTATGGCTTGGATGCAGCTGCTCGACCATGGAAACCCATTCCATGAAGCTCTCTGCGCACTGTTCTTGAGCTAATCTGAAGGCCACATGAAGTTTGGAGGTCTGTAGTGATTGACTCTGCAGAAAGTTGGCGACCTCTTCGCACTATGCGCTTCAGCATCCGCTGACCCCGCTCCGTCAGTTTACGTGGCCTACCACTTCGTGGCTGAGTTGCTGTCGTTCCCAAACACTTCCATTTTCTTATAATACAGCTGACAGTTGACTGTGGAATATTTAGGAGCGAGGAAATTTCACGACTGGATTTGTTGCACAGGTGGCATCCTATCACAGTTCCACGCTGGAATTCACTGAGCTCCTGAGAGCGACCCATTCTTTCACAAATGTTTGTAAAAACAGTCTGCATGCCTAGGTGCTTGAATTTATACACCTGTGGCCATGGAAGTGATTGGAACACCTGATTCCAATAATTTGGATGGGTGAGCAAATACTTTTGGCAATATAGTGTATGTGAGATGAGATTTAGGGCCCGATCTTTAAAGAATCTGGAAAGAAATAAACTGAATAGAAAACAAACAAAATAAAAGAAATTGCATGTTCAAAAAGTGCGTGTGTTACAGGTAATCTAAAAAAATTATGTGTAGAAGATGAGACGTGCAAACAGATTTGATTCCCCCAATAAAATCAACAAATTACATGTGTGTTTTTTGTTTTATTTTTATTTTTTGAGCGGAGCCCATAAAGAAAAAAATAGCTACATTACATGGACATAAGTGATCGCTATAAACATATTTTTCATTTCATTCAGAAAATGACTGAGTGTTTGAATATGCTGGTTGCATTCTTAAGGGCATACATGTAAATGTTTGTCAGGAATCAAGAAATATCAATGAGGCAAGCTGACCTAAGTATGCATGTGTACTCCATGTGAGTGTGATGTATTTCCACTTTAAGAGGCTACATGCTTTGTGAGTATGTAACACTACATGTTTGCATGGTACCAGTGGCGATTTCTCTTTGAATACTAGGAAGGCTAAACCTCCCCTGGAAATTCTGTAAAATAACTGGGTAAATATGCATTGGTAAACTTAACAAATGCATTGCACTATATAATTTGTGCTTAATGTGTTTTCACGTTTTAATTCATTTAGTTGTGTTTGGATTTTTTCAACACAATTCAGCCCTTTCAGGGACCAGGACGGACCACTGCATGGTATATGTTTAATCAGATCAGCCATATTATTCTGATCACTTATGTCTATATTAACAATATTGTTTGTTTTTTGAGTTTGAAAAAATTGCAATTCAAACAGGAAATGCTTTCCATGTATATATATAGCTAGTGAGGAAGAAAAAAATTTAATTGCATAAATTGGCCAAACCTGCACAGACATTGTTTTCCCTGCTAATACTAAACTATTGTCACTTCTGACATTCAAAATATGTTCTCTTTAGTCCAGACACATAAGTAAAAATGTTTGCTGCTGCATCTTCCGTAATTTTTCACACCAAATCCCTTTGCACCTTCTATGAAGATCAGCTTTGCGTGGGCTAGCAGGCTGCTTATACTTTAATGCATGTAAATCATTAGAAGATAAACCCAAAAAGAATCAAATGAAAATTTTAATTATAATTGTCCTCTGTCATGTCTTCCGTGAGGGCCTTAAATACATAAATTTCAAGTGCATAAATTTCACTGCAGCACTAGTTTGCAGCTTTCTGTACTTATTTCCACCCATATTTCTAATTAACAAGCCAGCTTCCCTGTTCCTGCAGAAAAAAAAGCAGGCTGCTGCTCCCACTTTTTCATCTGGAATGGTTTAGCCTGCAATATTAACACATAAGGATGGCTTGTAACACAAAAGACTTAAATATAGTTTCATTTTACCAGTACACCTTCTATGATACTGTATCTTATAAATGGCTTGTTGGCACAGACTTCTTATGACTCTCTGAGGATGACTTTCCTCTTCCCGCTGTTAAATTCAATTCAAATTTATGCAGTGCTCAACTAGCAAGTGTCTTATTCAGCTTGAGGGTGTCTTTAGTTACTCCAAAGTTACAATAGATCTCTTTTCTACTTTTCGGATTAATAATTTGATCATTTGAAGAGGCTGAAAGTTCAAGTTCAGTTAAAGTTCCATTATTTCTATTTCTAGTTAGAGGGTTTTTTGTCATAAGCTGACTTTGTTAGACTTTTTGTAAATCCCATATTCTCAGATTTTTATTTCTAAAAAAAAATAAAAAAAAATGGAATTCTTGTATCTTGTCTTGTCTTCCGTCTATCAAATAACATCCAACAAGAACCTCTTTTTTTTATCCTAAAAACTTTCACATGTACTGCAAAGACTTTATGTGGTGCACATTTTTGCATATGCTTTTCAATTCAGTGCTGTGATATGAGTCAGAGCAAAGCATCATATTTCATGCTTTTACCAGTATTCCATGTGTTGTTACAAGATGTCCAGGGCAACTCCACAGATAAAGAAGCGAAGAAGTAGAGGAAAGCCCAGGCCAAAACTACGATGTAGCTGGTACTTGCATAAAAAATGATCATCTGGCTGGCATATCCCAGACCTGTAAATAAAATGCTCCATCATTATTGTTTGGTCTTAAAACTGATATTTTCTAATCCCTGTGTTCGTCGTATGAGCTTGCTTACCTTCAAACAAGGGACAGACCTTTCTCCAGCACATGATTCCTCCCTGACTGGTGTACTGACCCAGGGATGTTTCCAGTATAAACATGGGTATTCCACAGGTAACAAGGAAGATGGTGTAAGGAATGAAGAATGCACCTATAAAGGAATTCAGTGTTGAAAGACTGTATACATATTGTTATACCTGAGGAAAAAAAAAAAGTTTTTAAGAATTATATCATTCATTAAGGAAAAAAGGGACAAACCAAACCAACATGGTCCAATATCTTACCTATCATTATTTTATCCTTCTGCCACTTGTATCACTGTTATCTGCTCATATTATGGGCAGATAACAAAAACACACTTTTTTTGTTTTTCTTCTTTAAAAATACTTTCTAGTACATCTTATACACTATTTTAAAGCTGAACAGATAATTGGAAATAAAAAAAAGCAATAAATTACAGAGAACTTTCATATATTTTACAAAACATTCCCTAATTTTCAATAAATGTGAATATTAATGTAAAATTAATTGATGTCAGCACCTGAGACAAATACATCGATTAATTACACAGGCTGGTGTTTTTTGCTCTTTATTGCTTTTAATTATTATAATTTTTAGCAGCTCTGAAACATAATAATTAAAATTAAAGTATGAAATAAAAAATAAGTAAAAAAAAATTCTAATACAGAAATTTGAGCTTTGTGAACAATTGTTGTTTTGCAAAGGTACCATTCATCTAATTATAATTGTCTAAATGTAGTTTTGAAAGTTGTTTTTTTTATAATTGTACTTAGATATAACATAAGAATTAATTTGAACACACAAATAACCTGCCTAAAATACTTCCTAAAATTAAATGCAAGGGTTGAAAGGGAAGACAAGATTTAAATTACCCTCTCAATTAAAAAAAGAAAAGAAAGCAAAGTTAAAAAGGTAAAGATATAGGTAACTGAATAAGTTTTAAATATAGTATAGGTCAATTTACCGTAGGTAAGTTTAACTGAAAACAATTCAAATGGTGTATGTTATACAAAAGTAAATTTCTGACATATAAAGTCATAATTACCAGCAAGTTCTGGAGAAAAGGTATTATGTGATCATTACTAGTTAGACATAGGATATTCATTGCAATAACAATGTAATTAGGTGGGACTTTAAATTAGATTTTTTTTGTTTAAAAACACAGTTCACTGACAAAGGAAATTTTGAATGAGATAACTAAAAGCAAACAAATATAACAGCTTTTACCTCCTCCATTCTTGTAACAAAGATATGGAAATCTCCAAACATTGCCAAGTCCAATAGTGGCACCAGTCACTGACAGGATAAACTCTGTTTTGCTCTCCCACTTCCCCCGCTCCTGAACAGAATGTAAAGCCGTCTTTGTGGGGAGCTGGCACAGCTTCCCTAGAAAGTCTGCCATCCTAAGTGAACAACTGTTTATTGAATGACGTTGAAAGACTTCAACTTGTTCCTTTATCCTGTTGGGAATCAAGGCAAAATTATTGGTTACTTAATAATTACCTACTTGACTTGACTGCAGTGAAACCACAAGGGGGCCCTCTAGCTGCTTCCCAATAAGTTATTTTAAGACATAAAAACAACGACATGTAAGTTTATTATCTCTATATATTTATTTCTTAAACCCATTTTATGATTTCAGAAAATGTCTACTCCTTGTAGCCTTTATTTTTTACAACTTAGTATTTCATAAATAGAGAATATGGTCTCCTGAGGCTTTTTGATCCCCTTTGAGATTAGAGTAAACTTTCTGTTAATGCTGATAGGTTAAAAAAAAAGCATAAAAAAGGACTTACCTTAACCAGTATTTAAGCCGTTTTAGTTTATATAAATAACACTGTATATGTAATAGGTGGGTACCGTTAGTTGGTTTTAGATGGACCTCCACCCATGGCAATCTTTAGTAGTAAAAGAAATAATATGTAGTTTTTCTAGAAATGATTGATACTGAGTTCTAACTCCCTCTACCATCTTCTTCCTTACTCCACACTTCCCTCCCAACCTTATATGCTCATTACTTTTATAGGTTGCCTCTTTAGAATAGGTTTTGCCAATGGTATTGCCAAAAAGCTCAAGAAGCCTAAAAGACACAAATCCCCCAAAAGTTATATTACTAATCCTTTACCTATATATGATATACTATATGTATATCTATATACATATGCATATTCATTTACATATGGTATATTTTGAATTAACCTTTACCAGAGTTTGGGCCAAAGCCATTTTGCCATCCCAGTCAAAATTATGGTGTGGTGCCCGCACCGAGTCCGAACTAAGCATTTTAGAGAAACCTCAACATACATCATATAGCATTGTTCTAACTCATATATAGGTAAATAGATCTCAATAATAGAAGCAACAATTAGACAGTTCCCCACTTCGGTTCTGAATCTGATAGCATACAAATTTTGACCAGCTCATTGAGAAGTCATGAAGTTACTTTTAATTTTAAGACCTCACTCACCTATCTAGATTAAAGCCCAATCCCTTAATGCACTACCACCAGCCCTCACCCATTACCGCTACACCTTTGAATTGAAGCCACAACATTTAGGCGTTCTCTAGAATTTTGGACACCCACTGCTGCATGGCTGACATTTGGGTACGTAAGCGAGTGTGTATATACATATTTACATATTTGTAAAATATGTCCCACCATAAAAGAGGAGACAAGCTATTTTTAATCACAATTGAACATAGAAAAAATAATGTTGACAAAGGTTGAAGTTGGGGAACCATATGCTGTATAGCTAACCAAACTCATACTTTGGCTAAAATGTATGTAGTGGTGCTTTAAAGACCATATTACAGTGTTCAGCTAATAAAAAGAAGGGCTTGCCAACTGAAGTTATAATTAGTGCCACAGTTCATGACAATAATCCTTATTTTTCATTTTCAAAAGGCAGACATGTTGCAAACTACTTTTCCACTTGAACTAATAATGTAATCGAATATACCAGAAAAAACTAACCTTGAAGTTCCCCCTAACTACAATGGGAAACTGGCAAGATCCATTTAGATGAAAAATTTCCCCATAAAAAGCATTGCTCAATAGATGATATGCTTCCATCATTTTTATGTGTTGTTCTCATGTGCTTTGTTATATTTATGCCTCCTTCTTATCAGAATGACCACAGACATTTATGTGTGAAGGATTGCAACTCACTTTCAAATGTGTTTAATATAAATGCAGAAATCGCACTGGCAAAGTGTTTTCATGGTATTTAAATATACATGGATATTCTCCTCCTAATATTTTGCTTGTTGTGATGTTCAGCATACGTACTGCATATGCTTTAAAATACCATGGGAGGGCCCAGACAGGATTTGAGCCGACAGACTCTAAGGTGAGATTCATGCTCGCTAGCCAGTCAGTCAAAGGGATATTCTTATGGCCATGTAGTCAGGGTCAGTCAGAGGCATAGTGCCAGGACCACACGGTCACATATATAACAGTAAGCACCCTGTCCAGAAAACTGCTCAACAATATCAGAGTGCCCTCAGTCAAACACCTCTTTAGATTTGGTGCAAGACAGACTCTACAGAAGATCCTTCCTGTATACAGATATCAACATCTACAACAACTTGAAGAACAGCAATGAACAAAAAACAAAAAAACACTTTTTCACTTGTTTTCTTCTCATTTTAGAGATTGAAAATCACCTGGTTATTAGATCAGCTTTTTGTGAGCTATCAAGTTTGTACATTTATTCATATAAACAAATCTTTAGCAGATATACTTTGCTAAAACAAATTAATAAAGTCAGAGGTCGAAGTGTTTGGGATGAGGGAGTCCTTCCCCACAAATGCCCCACAGGGACAGAAACTAGAAGGGGCTTATGTTACTTAAGTATGTACAGTTATGATTCATTTGGTTATTTCAAAATAAAACTTCCTGATCATACTTATAAGGCTTGAGTTTCAATTCTGAGCAATCCCCCTCTTGTTTCTGTGGAGACCACTTATACAGCAACAAAGTTTTGTAAATAGATTTGACTTGTTTATGGTGACAATGATCACAAGTAAAGGTGCATAAATACATTTAAAAATAGCGAAACCTTTTATGTATTATTCTAATGAATCTAACACAAAATATTTTCCGTTAATTCATAGTATTCTTTTGTAACTTAAAATTCAGTTGCAAAGAAAATTTGAATATTACATAATATTAAATATTACGTAAGGTTATCTGATGATCTACATGGTCATGGGGAAGAACGCAGACTTGAAAATTGTCCAGCAGACAGAGATTTACACTCTGCCTAAGAAGGTTAAGCCAAAAAAAGTTTATTGCTAAGGAAGTTGGATGTTGGCAAAGACTCTGGATGTTTACAGAACTATACCCAAGCTTATAAATATAAAGTCGACTGAGTTTCACTCTGCAGACGGAATCAGTGCTTCACATCAGGACAGGGCTTTTGGTTACATCTTTAGTCAAAACTAGACTAAGCAATGAAAGAAAGAGCACTAAACCAAGAATGGAGGAAACTTAATTTAGAAGACCTGTATGCTTTATTTCTATTTCACATAACTGTACTTTTGTTACCGAGTGTTATGATTGTGTCAACAGCAGCTCATTTCATGCAGGCATTTTATATTTTTAAATGCCATCTGCCAAAGCTTGCAACTTGAAAATGTGCTCTAGGTTTGAGACAAAAGTTGTGTCTGTATACTCACACTGGTTGCCACTGTCATTCCACTCTAAGGATTCCGAGTTGTAATTGTTGAAAAAGTCTTGTAGACAGTTGTTTCCCATAAGGTTTTCACCTGAGGTTGTTGGATCAGCACCTTCTCATGGTTCCTCGCACCCGTTTCAATTCCCTGGGAGATCTCTACTTTATTTCCTCTGAGGAATTATAATTGCATAACTGTTATGCTTTTGTTTTATGAAACACTGAAGCAACTCAAAATTATTGCTTAATTGTCTCTTAATTATGATTGTGTATGTGCATAGTTGTTGGTCTCTGTGTTGTCCTGCGAAAGACTGGCGACCTGTCCAGGGTGTACCCTGCCTTTCACCCATTGACTGCTAGAGATGGGCACCAGCCACACAAGCGACCCTGCCGAATAAGCAGAAGATGATAGATGGATGTGACAGTTGGAACAGATCCAGTGCCATGTTTTTACCTCGAAAGTCATACCATTTGCTGGTTAAAAGGTTTCTAATTACCAGAAAACTAAAGACCCAGGCTTCCACCAGAGTCAACAGTTGACGTTTATCATGAAACATGAAACTGCTGTTGGGAAAGGATTAACCAGAGTCAGCAACCAGAACTTCTGGAAGGAGGTTGGGCGATTGAGCGACCAGGCAGAAACGGGGCAAGGTTTCCAATGTTGAATTCTCGTTCATTAACCTCCTCGGAGTTTGGAGATAAACTTTGAGAGTTTCTTAAGAAGCCATTTGGCGTTCGATGTCACGGGTGAACCTCGCAGGAATCCTTCTTTGACAGTAACTAGTTGGTCCAGGGGAATGAACAGGGTCAAATCAGTGAGAGCAAAGACAAGCAGAAGGATCAAGGGGACAAACCAGAGTATGGAATCAGAGAGATGGTCAAGAGTCAGAGCCAATCCAGGGCAGAATCCAATACAAGGTCAGGTCACAGAAATCAGGTCAAAAATCCCAAAACACACCATGACAGGTCCAATAGGGTTCCAGCAGGTTCAAAGAATCAGGAGGCAAAAACATTTCAGATACAGGCAGGCAGCCAGACAGATAACAGGAATGCTGTTGGCAGGTAATAATCTGGCACTAATGGCTGGTCTGAGAGATGTTTTTTTTTTTTTTTTTTTTTTACGGCACTTTTGGCTTGTTTTTTCAGCAGGTTGGTCGATTCGAGGACTAAGGCCTCCTTACATGAGTTGTGCGTGCTAACCACCGCGCCACCTGCACGCCCGAGAGATGTTTTTATAGGTCAGGTGAGCAGGTGAATCTGATACTAGCTTTTGAAAGCCAAAAATAGATCTTCTCAACTTTCTCCAGTGTCATCCAGTAGCACAGACAAAGCCACCAGTTGGATAGCTCAGTCCATTTCACTTTTGCACCTGCTGTTTAATGTGTACATAATCTCAGTAGATTCCGTACAATATGTCCACTAAATGCATTAGCAATTTCTTGTTTTTGACAAGAAATTTACCTCTCCTTATTAGGTAATATAGTTGTTTAGTATTTGAGTGATTGATTGATTCTGTTTTTGTGAGAGCAAATACTGTTTTCACATGCTGGTCCAGGAGGAGCGATCCTGCAAAGTTAATGACCTAATGCAATTATGTTGCTTCCATATGGGGATTGTTAACTGTTTACTACCTAGAACTACATGGTCATGCTCTACTTTGTGACTGTAACTAAATAATTATACTGACAAGATTTTACTGTGACACAGTATGTTGTGAAAGTTTAAC